TAAACATTGAGTCTGCACTTGCGGTCTGAGCCTTTTAAGAATGAGACTGTAAAGGGAAGAAACCCTCTGTGTTCACAAAGGGTTTGCTAAGGTAGCACACATATGAGCCTAAAGTCATTTAAAAGGAGCCATGAATTAGAACGAGGAAGCCAAGTTTTCCCCAATTCTAGAATTTTTTTTAAGTAACTTTCATATTCAGTTTTAAGTTTGGGGAAACAGGAGACCACTAGATAGAGTCGGGCGCAAAATAAGTGTACCTTGTGCGTACTGACTGGTTGATTATAGAATCCTGAATTCATGGCTCCAAGGAGTAAAGTCAGGTAGGATCATCGATCTGAAATGATGAAGGAAAAAATGAGGTCGGATCTTTCATGAGGAATCATGTGCTGTGAAAAATTTAGGCTTTTGTGTCCCTGCTAGGCTTCGGTGCCCAGAAGGGCATGGACTAAAGATGGTAGAAATCAGCTTCACAGATTCTTTTCCATAGCTCTTTGGTGGCTAATCATGTAATTGATCATCACAGGATATGACAATAATCCAGCCTGAAGTTTTTTAGCACTTCTCCGTCAGGTGGTAACAGCCAGAGCAAAGGATACAGGATTTAAGGGAAATGTCCATGGACAAATCTGAGACAGGGAAGCCAGAACTGGATTTAAAGCAGTGGGTCTGATGAGTGCTTTAGTCATTCAGATGTTGGTGACTTCCGATTGAAGTAACTAATTGTTAGACCTGCTTGGCCATTCAAAAGCAATCTTATGAAGTTGAATTTTTCCCATTCAAAAGAAAGAACTGTGTAATAAAAGGCCTCTGTTAAGTAACTCTTTCTGTTAGTTGAATTTTAATGAGTTCTAGCAAATAAAAGACAAAGCCTTTTTTATTGGCCCTCAGGGACTTCTGGTATTACAGGATAGAAAACAACTGAGCTCTCAACACATGTGTCAAACTTGTGAAATAAAATTCCTTATTCCAGCAGTGATCCCACACTAAGGTGTGTGATGTTTTCTGGAGGCCAAGAAGCATTTTAAGAAGCTGCCAGTGCTTTTCAGGCGGCCAAGAGGAAGAGTGAGAACAGACCTCTGACCTTAAGAATACAGGTCGTTCCTAACTTGCAAGCAGATTGTGTTCCAAAAATGTTTGATTTTAAATGACTTGTTTGGCACTTGAAATTTATTTCTCCAGGGAGATGGCAACACAGGTAGAAGCCCTAAGCCTGCTGGCTTTAAAAAAAAGGAGGCAGGTTCGAGTGCCCCAGTGATAGAGAAACCTACACATCCTTAGCTCTGCAGACGGGGGGTGGGGGGGGCAAGAGTCGTGGTCATGTCCTGAGGTGCCAGGACAGGCCCCTCATGGGAAAAGTGTACAGTTCTTTGAGTAAGAAATAAATGAGGGGGAGAGTATAGCTCAACTGGTAGAGTGCATCCTTAGCATGCATGAGGTCCTGGATTCAACCCCCAGTACTGCCATTAAAAAAATAAACCTAATTACTTCCCCCCTAAATAAATAAAATCATTAAATAAATAAAAAACTTTAAAAAAACGGAAAGAAACGAAATCCAGTTCTAGCTCTGCCACCTTCCAGCTGTTTGTCTTTGGACAGATGACTTCTCTGAACCTCAGTTTCCCCATCTAAAACAGAAAAAAATGACACCAACCTACAATGCAAATGTTTTTCTTTCTTTCCTCAGGTTGAGTATATGAAGGTACATACAATGCAGAATTGAAATCACCCAAGATTCTTCAGTTAAACATGTCCAAACTCTCTGTCCTTCCAAACTTGCTCCACCTCTAGCCTTAATCCTCTTCAACCTATCAGTTACCACGTCCTAAAGTGTTCTCTTAAGTCTCTCTGGAATGTTTCCATTTACCTCCACCTCCACTGCACTGTCCTAGATCCAGCCACACCACCTCTCTGACCACAGGACCCTTAAACTTGCCATGCTCTCTCCTACCTGGACATGCTACTAAGGAATGTCCCTGCTCCAACTGCGTGCTCCGCTAATCCGTTCTGGACAGGACAAGAGCTCTTGAGAGCTTTTTGAAATGCACAGCTGATCCTCTGGCTCCTGTTTAAAATCATTCAGTAGCTTCTCATTTTACTTTGG